CCTGCCAGTCTTGCAGTTGATCAGATGTTTGGGCCCAGGGAAAACGTTTATGAGTAGAGTTGGCAAATTGAAAGTCATCTTCGGGCGGCGGCACCACATTATGCAAAAATGCTTCACCGGGGCAGCGGCGGCGGCAGAAGCCTTCCCCCAGTGTTCAACCAACGCGCGAGCACAGATATCTGGGTCCCGATGCGAATGACCATTCTGGTCGATAGTTCCCGAGAGAGCGATCGCGCGCCGCGCTCGCTTCCAAGCTCGCGCAAGAAGCCTAACGCGCAGGATGTGAAATTCAGAATTAGACTTACCGAGAGCACTCCCCACGTTGGTCTCTTCTCTCCATGCCCTCTCCTGCTCATTCAACTCATTGGTCATCAGCTCGCTCAGGTGAGTGTGGTACTGCCTACAGCCAGACCAGTTCATCTGTTCGACGCAATAGAAGGCGGCAAGCACAGGATACGCACGAACAGCAGAGGCCACCAGATGCCTAAACGACGAAGAATGCCCTCGATCAAGCCGTAAACAGTAAGATCTCCTGCGTCCTCGAAACCGCTTTGGCCGGAAACATATCGGACTTCATTGTCTGGGCAGCCGTGACAGCGGTGCGCTTCACCCCCGCAAGCCTGGTGGGCGCCGCGTCGCTCGGACCCTGCCCGTGCAGGAGGCGCCCGAAACGCTCGGCAAACGCAGCGCGCTTCAAAAACCCAGACAGGTAAGCAAACATCGCCTTCTGGCCCCCACGGCCCCATCGAGACGCGCGCCGGCACACGGTCAGAAGGGAAAGGATGCGCGACGCGTGCAGGTCGAGGATGCCAGCGCAGGGCATGATGACATAGAGACGATCCAGTCGCGCATGCGAGACAGATAGAGGTTGGCGGACGATCCGCCTGCGAGTGCACTTCCCTTGCCCTAGCTCGGCGACCTCGGCTCAAACCTGGCGGGGCGCAACCGCCCGCCTGGCAGGTTGAAACATCGCTGCCCCCGCGGCGGCAAAAAATCAACACCCCCCTCTTCATGACAGTTGAAGTCCCCGAGGAAAAGCAGAGGCAAGAGCGGGGGCCAGGACCAGACGACGGAGGCGGAGGAACAGGGTGCGGACCTTGCTGAGGGTCGACGTGAATGTTGGCGATTTGAACCACGCCTTCGGGCCCCCCCCCGGAATTGCGATGGCCACCTGCCCCGCGACAACGGGCCCCACCTCGCGCGAGCCGAACTCGCTCCGGAAGGGGCTGGTAAAAAAAAATTAGCCCTCCAGTACTAGGAGTCTGGCAGAACGGCCCAAGAACCCGATGATGTTTGAACTCGCGCTGAAGATTGAACAGGTCCCCAGGAGCCCCATGAGTTCCCAGGAGGCATACAAAGTCAAGAAGTTGCAATAGGCGGCGTTAACTTATTGAATGTGCGTTTCGCGCGAACTGGGTCTGCACGCAGAGATCCCACCAAGGCTCGCCAGTTCCAGGCCACTGTCTTGAACGCTCGTTCGGGAAGACACTGAAAATACTGAATGGAGGGAGGTGGAAAAATGACGCAGAGGAGAGGGAGAGGAGACAGCGCCCGCGGAGCACAAAGAGCACCCGCAGTTATCATTCACGCTGGCGCGCAAGAGATCTCCACGCCCTGCGACGGGCGAGGGAGAACAGGAAAACTCCGTTACATCTGCACTGTCGTGCCCTGGAGGAGCCTGTCACAGGCTAGAGAGGTTCACGATGCTCCGCGCGCTCGTTCGTGACCCCCCAATAATCGAGCGACGGGTGCACCGATTCTAAGTTGAATTTGACACGGCCTGCTGGGACCGCGAGGATGAGTTCGAACACGCCAATGTATGTGACCACTTGTAGTACCCCCTTGTCTCCGTTCACGCCCAGTTTGAAAGATGTTTGCCGTTTGGGTGACTTATCCAACTCCTCCAAGATAGCATGGTACACTGCAGACAGGGCAGGCTTTTTCCTGACGACCATGCAGAGGAAGGTCTCCTCGGATGCGTAGGTCATGCTGAGACTGATCGCGAAAGCCAACCTACTTCATACCGTTGCCGTTGCACTTCTGCTGGGAGTCCAGGGCGTACACCTTCGACTTGAAGACCAGCTTGTACGTCTGACTCACGCCGTGGAACTCAGGAGTAACCTTACTCTCGTCAAGCTCGCTCGGGAAGACATATCTCATCTGGCCGAAATGAGCTCTCCTCGTCCTTTCCGAGGGCGGACGCGGGGAGGTGCCCACGAACTTGATGGTTGGGTCCCCCATATCCTGCTCAGCATCAAGCCCGACCACTCGCCGAGCCCTGCAATCAAGGACACGTTGTCGGCAAGATCCACATCCGAGACTGCTGAGGCTGGATCAGCACGCGCTGCCGGTGGTGTTGCTGTTCTCTAGGGCCCTGATGCGCTCGTCCTGCTTGATGAGCACCTCTTTTATCCCCTGGATCTCTGCGCCTTGAGCGGTGAGCTGGCCCTGGAGCCCGCCACCGACGTCTGAATATCGTCGGCGATGGTCTCTCATGGTAGTCTTCAGGTCCTCACTGTGCGCGGCTAGCAGCTGCTGCAGCTGCTCCATCATCGCCTGGTTGGCCATCGCACGCGGAGTGACTCTGCTGAAAGGTGGCACAATGCCAGAACGAAGCGTGCTTTGGCGCACGACAGGAGAGAGCGAGGCCTAACCTCGAATGGGACGCTTGGGCCACCCCTCGGCCGCGCCCAAGTTCGAAGCGCCAGGGACACACGCTTCGAACTTGAGCCAAAACGGCTACGGAACAAGGAGGACTGAGGATGAGGAGGATGAAAAATGCAGAGGCAGAGTGAGGAGTGAATAAAGAGGAGGAGTGAAAGGAGAAGTGAGGAGAAGAAGGGCAGAGGAGCGAGGAGGATAAGCGAGGAGCAGGAGAGAGAAGGGACAGGATGAGATCGAGAAAAAATGATAATGATAACGGGGGAAGAGGTAGAGTGAGGAGTGAGTAGGGAGGAGTAGTACAAAAAGTAAGTCAGGAGAAACAGTGCGGAGGAGGAGGAGTGAAGAGCATAAATAGGGGCGAGAAGGGAAGGATGAGGACGGAGGAAAAAGGATGAGAAGTGAGGGTGACGAGGAGAAGGAACGCAGCGAAAAGGGCCGGGACGGGTCGGACCCTAACGGGCGGGCCAGGTCGGGTCGGCGGGACATGAAAATATAACGCATGTGCGAGTGGACACGTGAGAACCCTCACGAGTCGGGTCGAGACGGGACGGGACCCGCCGAGCGGACCCTAACGGGCGGGTCGGGTCGGAACGCGTCCGACCCTAACGGGAGGGTTGGGTCGGGCGGGCGGGACATTCAAGTATGATGCATGTGCGAGTGGACACGCGAGAGCCCTCACGGGTGGGGTCGGGACGGGACGGGTCGGGTTGGGCAGACCCTAACGGACGGGTCGAATTGGGTCGGGTCGGACCCTAACGGGCGGGTCGGGTCGGGCGGGCAAGACATCAAATTATGATGCATGTGCGAGTGGACACGCGAGAGCTCTAATGGGTCGGGACGGGACGGGACGGGTCAGGTCGGGCGGACCCTAACGGGCGGGTCGGGTCGGATCGGGCGGACCCGAACGGGCGGATCGGGTCGGGAAGGGTCGAACCCTAACGGGCGGGTCGGGGCGAGCGGGCGGGACATTAAAGTATGATGCGTCATCGAGTGGACACACGAAAACCCTCGCAGGTCGTGTCGGGACGGGACGGGCAGACCCTAACGGGCGGGTCGGGTCCAGCCGCCGGGACCCTAACGAACGAGCCGGGTCGATCGGGATGGACACGCGAGAACCCTAACAGGCGGGTATTGCCGGGTCGGGCGGACCCTAACGGGCGGGTCGGTGCGGGCGGGCGGGCCATTAAAATATGATGCATCAACGAGTGGACACGCGAGAGCCCTCACGGGTCGGGTCGGGACGGGACGGGCGGACCCTAACGGGCGGGTCGGGTCGGGTCGGGTCGGACCCCAACCGTGCGGGTCGGGTCGGGCGAGCGGGACATTAAAGTATGATTCATGTGCGAGTGGGCACGCGAGAACTCTAACGAGTCGGATCGGGACGGGACGGGCCGGGTCGGGCGGACCTTAACGGGCGGGTCGGGTCGGGTCGGGCGGACCCTACCGAGCGGGTCGGGTCGGGTCGCACCCTCCCGGGTGGATCGGGTCGGGCGGGCGGCCTAGGGGTTAAGCCAAGGGTGTGCCTGACGGCCTAGGAGTAGACCTAGGTTAGTATTGGGGGAAGGCCTATGGGTAGGCCTAGGGTAGCCCTAGGGGGTAGGCCTAAGCGTAGGCCTAGGGTAGGCCAAGGGGTTAGGTCTAGGCGTAGGCCTAGGGTAGACCTAGGGGAAGGCCTCGGGGTAGGCCTAGGGTAGGCCTAGGGGGTAGGCCTAGGGCTATGCCTAGGGTAGGCCTAGGGGGTAGGCCTAGGGGGTAGGCCTAGGGTAGGCCTAGGGGGAAGGCCTAGGGGTAGGCCTAGGGTAGGCCCAGGGGGTAGGCCTAGGGGTAGGCCTAGGGGTAGGCCTCGGGCAGGCCTAGGGTGTAGGCCTAGGGGTAGGCCTATGGTAAGCCTAGGAGGAAGGCTTTGGGGCATGCCGAGGGTAGGCCTACGGTAGGCCTACGGGGTAGGCCTAGGGGTAGGCCTAGGGGGTAGTCCTGGGGGGTAGTCCTGGGGGTAGGCATAGGGTAGGCCTACCCTTCGGGTTCTATAAGCCCACACCAGCTCGCGTTTCCTACCGTACAATGATTTGCATCGAATGGGATCACTGGTGCCTGCTACTTGTTGCAAATGGGTTGGATTGGATCCTTCCCTGGGCAATTCGACGCTCTGGGAGCCCAGTAGAGGTCCCCAGAAGCCGAAAAAACAGCAAGAGACTTCCGTCGTGGTTTTTGAGCGGCGCGGGGAGGGGGGTCTGGTTTCTCATCCTCCCCCTCCTGCCCTCTCCCCCGGTCCTCCTCTCCTCCCCCTCCGCGCCCTCCCCCTCGGCATCCCCCCTCGCGTCCCTGCACGGGGGCTCCTCGTGCAGCAGATCCTCCGCCTGCTGGAGCATGCCGCCCGTGCTCGCCGTGGAGGAGCTGCTCTGGGAGCCCCCGGCCAGGAACGAGGGACTGGCGGGCGGCGCTCCGGCCGGAGCGGAGGCGCGGAGGGAAGGAGCGCGGGGACGGGCGGGGGAAGCCAGGGGGTGCCTTCCCTCCCCGCACGAGCGAGCCTGCCCTTCCCCTGGGTGGACGTCACCGAGGCGACGCAGTCGCCCCCATTGGCCGCCCTGCGACCCTCTGCCAGGTGAGCCAGGCCCGCGGGCCCAACATGCAGTGCACTGCGGGAGGACACCTGCCGACCTACCGGCCTATCTGCATTCCCCTCCTCCATCCTCCCCTTCTTGGGGTACGACGGCATCCCAGCCTTTCTTCCACGGCGTGCTCCCCCGAATGCCCGATCAGGGCAACTCGCCTGGGCGTCGTTTCTGGATGGGCCGGTCGACGGAGTGCGGGTTAGGATTTTGGACGAGAGGTTGGAGTGCGTCTCTGACGTGCGTGCGGCAGCAGCTCAGAGCAGGTCCGCAAGCAAACGTGCCACCAGTGCACCTCATGAATGCCACGCTTTCACATTTAAGCAACAGATACTTTCCGGCAGCCATCGCGTTTTCTGTGTTCAGTTTTACCCTCGGTGAGGGACCATTTAAGAAGAATGCCCTCGGTAAAGGCAAGGGGCATGTAACATTGGCCCCTCCGGGATGTCCCTCGGTGAAGGCTTACGGGAGGTGGTGGCGGTGATCTTATTGTTTGTGGCAGAAGACGTTGTGCGAGTCGACCGCTGCGAGCGTGTTGACCGCCAGAGCGAAGTTTCAGGCATGCCGTTAGTGGTCAGATGGAGATCGTGCTAAATCCGAGAAGAAGTATCGAAAAGCAAAGAGGTCCTGTGGCCGTGGAGTCTTGGGGTGAACCGCGCAAAACATGGGTAGCAGCCAAGAATTGCCGGCTTGATTCTCTATGCCAAGTATGTCCGCAGCCAGATCGCACTTAGTCGAAAAAGAAAAAACGCCATAAACAGAAACTTGTGGCGCTCCGCGCGGATCTCTTGGATCCGCGCTGGGTCCCCGCCGCCCAGTGCGCGCTCCGCGCGCCGGAGAGAGGGGTCCAGCACGGATCCAAGAAATCTGCGCGCTGCGACAAAAGTCTAAGTTTGTGGCGTTGTTTGTTTCCCCCTACTTAGCGCACCTGCTGATTAGCGTTGCAGTTGAGCATCGTATCATGGGCTGTGGAGCTTACCCTCAGTGAGGGTCATTGTTCATTGGGTGGGCAGATAGGGAGGGGGATACCACAATGGAGGCGGAGGAGCAGCAGACATTGCAGCCGCAGCCTACATACGCTACGAGCCCCAGCTCCCCGATGACCCCTCCAGCGCCCACCCACCCCCAAGTATGCCGCCACAGAAGAACCTAGGCTGTCCAAGTCGGTACACCGCCCAGCAGGCGCTGATCGTGTACGCCCTCCTCCTCCTCCTCGGCTGGTGTTCTTCCGTGTCGTCCCCTTCCTCGTTCTCCCTCCTCCTGGGGTAGCCCCGCCTTTCGGCGAGTGACGCCACTTTACACACCAGCCCTGCGGAGCAGGGCTGGGTTGGCTACGTCCACCCAAGCGTGCAGCCACCAGGAACCAGGAACCGGGAGGAGGCCGCGGAAGAGAGGCGCGGAGGCTAGCAGACGCGGAAGCGAGCAGGACGGCGGGCCGGGAGAGGGGAGGGGAAGGCGCGGAGGCCGCGCCTGCCCCTGCCTGCCTCCCCCAAGGAAGGCCACGCTGGGCGTAGACCGTGACCCCCACCCAGGACGCTGCTCTGGCCAGCCTCAGAGGCAGCTGGGCGCGTCGCTCCCCATGCTCAGCTGGGCGGTGCGCCCCACGTCTTCCGTGAGGCGGGGAGCTTTTCTGCCGCCCGGCGACCCTGCCCCTTCTTGCGCGCCGCGGGCATCCCTGCCCCAGATTGCTCGATGAGCGGAGGGCGGGACCGCACTGGGAGCAGCAGAGGGCTGCGCAGGGCATGGGGTCGGTGGATCGCGTGGGGGTGCTTTCGGCGAGCGCGGGAGGGTGGGGGGCGGACTGGGGTGGAGTGGCACGAGGGTGTGCGTGTCGGGAGACGTCGAGCATGTGCCCTGTTCCCCCTTCCCCGCTCCGCCCTGCAACAAAAAACGCCGCGACCAGCGCACTGCTTCTGCCCACATCCCCGTCCTTGTTCCGCGATCCACGTCCCCTCGTTCCCTGCGTCCACATATCTGACCCCGCGCTCCCTGGACGGAGGGAAGCAAACAGAGAAAAGAGGAGATGGAGCAGGGAGAGGCGGGAGGGCACGGCTGGAGAAGAGGGAAGAGGGCGGCGAGGGCGGCGCGCGACATCGCAACGCGGGCGAGAAGAGAGAGGGGCGAGGCGAAGGGGGAGGGGGTGGCAAGGGGGCACGACGCGGACGTCGCGGGCGGCGAGGACGTCGCGCGAAGTCGCCGCCGCCGCGAGGGCGCGCGAGGAGGGGCGCCCGCCTGAAGATCATCGCCTGCGGCACCTCGGCGGATCCGCGCCCGAAAAGTGGGGTGGGGAGGGGGGCTCTCCCTTGGGGAGCAAGACCAATATCAATAACACGCAGCCTTGGGGGACCCAGCAGCATGTTACTGTAGAGGACACACCAAACCTTCGGACAAAGACAATGGAGTAACACGGTTACGGGTTAACAACAGCAGCGGGTTATTGATACTCATTTTCCCTCACGACTCCCCACTCCCCTTGGCTGCCGTTGGTTTCCCCCGCTGCCCTCCACTCGCCCCTGGTCTCGACCCTACCCTCTCCTCTGGCCGCCGGGGCCTCCCTCCTAACACATACAAATCACGTGCGACACAATTTCATGTTGGGATTCGAACGCGCTCCAGCCTCGCACACAGAAGGAGCTCGCGCACGGCCCCGCTACCGACGACTTGGCGAGGAGAAAACTACGCGGGCCGCGCAAAGCCGGGCCTGGCAAACTTCAGATGGGCGCGGCGAAGACAAAGCATGCGCCGCGCTGACACAGCCTTGCCATTTTCACTCGCAGTCTGCGCGGCGTCTGGGCGAGGTCGTCATTTCGCCCGCTCTCGCGAGGCCCTGCCGGCGCTGCCGCTGTCGTTTCTATGTGCTTCGGCGAACGCACTATGCGCCGCGCCCACGCTGCAACGCCACTTCCAACCCGAATGCGCACGGAGCTCCAGCGAGGGCAGCAAGTCGCCCACTCGCGCAGGCCCCCACAAAATTGGCGAGCGACAAATGGGCGCCGCGACGGGGCGGGATCGCCACTTTCAGGCGAAATCTGCGCGGGGCCAAGGTTGCACCGACACGTTCGTCCGCTCGCGCGTCGACGGAAACGTGTGCGAAAAACGCAGGACAGGCGCTCGGAATGAATCGGATCGGCGGAAATCGGCACCGAAGTCGGGAGAAGTCGAATCGGCGGAAAGCGGCAAGCCAATGAGGCCTCCGTTGCTAAACCGAAAATCCAAATCGGATCCCGAGGATCGAGTCGGAATTGGAATCGATCGAAATCGAGTCGAGTCGAGTCGGACGAGTCGAAATAAGCCACGCCAGCCAGAAGTACGACCTTCGACCTTGCGCGGCGGAAGGCGACCTCTCGACACAGGAGCCACCCCAGTGTTGACGACCTCAGCCCTTGCCTACGATTGGATCTGTTCGATGATCTCGACGGCATCGCCCTCGAGTTTCGACGGTCAAGGAAGGAAGGGGCTATGGGGAAAGGAGGGGAGCGGAGCGGAGGGAAGAGGAGAGGAGAGGGAGAGCAGGCGATGACGGGGAGATGGGCGGAGGAGGGGGGGGAAGATGAGGTTGAGGGACGGGAGTGGGGCGGCATGGCGAGTGTCGCAGGCCCAAAACGGCAGAACATGGATGACTGAGGCGGGAAGGAGGAGGAGTGGCAGAAGAAGGACCAGGCAATCTTAGTGCATCGTCGTCGTCCCTCGTCGACCTTCCTCGGCATCGCCCTCGAATCCCCGATTCTGGATCGGAAGGGCAACGGCTCCCAATTGTAACGTCGGCCCCTCCGAATCCGCATCGCTGGGTCGTTTGTTCATAACCGACTCGGGTACCACAATACAAAATAATCACGAGAACCAGCATTGTTCGGCAAAGGATTCTGAGATAGAACCATCACCGCGGATGCCAGTAACTCAGCGCCAGTTTTCTTCGAGCCCTTCTGTATGCCTGAAAGGTTCCTGGCCTCACTCTGAGCCTCCCTTCTCTGCCAGGACCGACACACACGCTAAGCATGTGCGACATGGGGAGGCCACGCGCTGGATGTGAAGGCGTGGTGGGCTGGCGTGCCTCGCCACACGAGGGGCGAGCGCTGGAAAAGCGTTCGGCCACACGCGGGTCCAGCTCTCCCCCAGGCCGACCGCGTCTGGCCGCCCGTCCAGCTTCCTGGACCAGCCCTCCGCCGCCGACTGGAGCACTCCGAACAAACAATGCCACAGGCGTAACCTGTTGGAGGTCCGCGCGAATTCGGCGCTGGAGGCGCCGCCAGGAGGTCCCAGCGCCGATCCAAGAAATCCGCGCGGACCTCCGAAAGTTTCTGTTTACGTCATCCGCGCGCGCGCCGACTGGAACGCTCCGACCCAGCGCGGATCCAAGAGATGCGCGCGGACCTCCGCCGCAGGCTGGAGCACTCCGCCTTCTGCGCCGTCGCCATCGCCGCCGACGCCGTCGGAGGGCTCCAGCGGCGTCGCAGCCGCGGAGCGGCAGCGGCCTGGGCCACGTCACTGTCTCCGCTGGGCGCCGCGCAGTCGGGCGGGGAAGCCCGCGCTTCACGGGCTGGCTCTGCTTCTGCCGCTCCCTCTCCAGCTTCTCCTGGGGAGGCGGGGGCGAGAAGGACTGGCGCCCCGAGCGCTCGCTCCAGCGGCCTGCCTCAGACAACTGCGGGTAAGTGGAGGGAAGGGGGGGAGAGGGGAAGAGGACGAGGGGGGGGAGGGAAAGGGGGAGCAGAGAAGGAGGAAGGGGGGAGGCGGGCGGGGCGGCGGGGGAGGGGATCAGATCGACTCGGCAGGAGGACACATCGTGCCCCGCAGCGCCGTCTGAGCCCCCCCTGCGGGCGGACGCAAGGCTGGAGCTTCAAGTTCAAAAACCAGCTGGGGCAATATTCATGTCCAGCCCTGCCCGGCGGTCAGGGAATGGCGAGCAGGAGGAAAAGAGAGAGGGGATCGACTGGAGCTGACACGCTCGACCCTGCCAGGCCGCCGGGCGCCGCCGACGCAGCGGCGACTTCCATCTCGATCGCCTCCGTCCACCTCTGGATCTCTCCCTGCGTCGCGAGAATCGGCGACCATGGCACCTCGACGATGACTGGCGGTCTTGGCCACGACAGTGGCGTCTCTGTCCCGCTGCTCGCGATAGACTCTGCAGCCCGCCGACTGTCTCCGCCATTTCTGTTCCCATGAGCTCCGCAGGTGTCATGTGCTCGACCTTGGCAACTGGGATGAACCCGCCTCCCTCTGCAATAGTTTCTCAATCCTCCAGCTCCTGAACTCCTTTGGCTTTTGAGCTGGTGCCTTGGCCGGCGTTGCCTTTGTGAAGTTCGGCCCCCTTCTCCAATCCGCAACTGGGTTTGATTGCATCTCTCGGGTCTGACGCCTTCTTGGGAAACATAGATTGGAAATAGGCCTGGCCACACCATCATTTGTCTGCACCATCTTTTCCGCGACACTCTCCTGGACTGTCTGCTGCACTGGCTCCGGCATCGGCGCAGGCGGCGCAGGCGGCGAAGGCTGCCCAGGGGGGGCGGATGCTGGCGTGCGTCAACGGCGCCTTTGGCGGCTGAGGCGTCTCGGAGGCTGGGCCCCCCCACTCCAGCCGCCTGGTCCGCCCCCGCTGCGTCTCCACCCATCCCCTGCCCAGGAACCTCCCCCATCGCTGTCGCCAACAACGCCGCTGCTTGGGCCGCTGACGACTGCGGCGCTGGCGACTGCGGCGCTGCTCCGCAAATTGTGATCGCACGGTTGGGTCGGGCACAAGAACGGATCAAACAAGGGCGTCGACGGCGGCTGCCAGGACACTGTCGTCGTGGGCGGGAGCGAAGGGTACATGCTGCGCTGCGGGTGGCTGCTCTCGTCTGGCGCGTATCTCGCCATCCTCAACTGGCGCCAGTACTCCGCTGCATCTGAGTCCGCTGACGCTGTGTCCGAGAACATGCCGTCTAGACTCGCCGACGACAGGGGACGACACCTCAGCTGCTGCCAAAGATCATTCAACGGTCCGCTCGGCCATTGATGGATCGGCGCCGTTGATAAGTGAGGGCCGCTCGGGAACGCGATGGGCGATGTCGGCCGCTGTGTCGCCCTCATCGACCACGGTGCTACTACTATGGTTTCCATCTCCTCCATCATGGTACACCCTGCGAAATGCTTAAGAAATCATGGGTTAAGAAATTCAGAGTCTCAGAACTTGAATCAAAGCCCAGAATGTCTATTCAAATCTTGGGATTTACATTGAAAAATTAAGAATAATCGAGACTCTGGCCGAAAACTGGGGTATTCTTAAGCATCGCCTAAGGTGTACTACTCACATGCAGCACCTGCGCGACGAAAACGTTATGCTGCTGCGTCAGTGCTGCTGGGAGCTTCTCGATACTGGCATGCGCGCTTGTTGGAGGACGCTGCCGGTGCTGACGCCGCCGCTGCTTGCGGCCCCGCGAGACAGCCTGAACCCCTCCCTCGGGCTCCGTCACGTGTGGCCTTGGTCTCCTTCAATTCGTCTCCTCTCGTGGGAATATCCGAAAGGCTAGATGCTCCCTCTCGGACCGAATCTTGGCATATGACAACCGAGTTTCCGTGCCCGCCGATTCCGTCCGCAGATGTTCCAAAGTACAAATAGCCGCCAAATCGTTCTCGCACGGATCTCTGTTCGCCACCTGCGCAGCCTCGTTGAGAAGCCCAGTGTTTCGAACACAATAATTTGATCTCGTTCGGATGTGAAGCCAAGAAATTTCTTCTGGCACGCTACCGTGGCGATATCCGCTTGACTTTGTTGACTTCGCAGCTTGTGGTGTCGCAACGTCTATCTTGGCAACTAACGGACTCACCGAACCCCTCTCTGCTTTGGCATCTGAATCTGCGCCCCTGCTCTTGGAGCGATCTGACCACCAAGGCAGTCCGCCCGACGGGCCATACCAATTAAGACAGCAGGAGCACTTTGTTCGGGAATGCGGAAGCTTTGAAGTGCATCTGAGAGACTGCCATGGCATCTCCTCACTCCTCGGTGTCGCGTGATGGCTACACAACGATCGCCATGCCTTGTACATCCTCAGCACAGCCCGATGATTGGCATGTTGGGTGCGCGCGCGCGCGCCCACGCCAAGAGGGATCTGAAGGAATCTCGTGCCTGGCGCCGTCTGAGCCCCAAACCCTCTCCTCCCCCTTCTCCGGCAGAGCACGCCGCGCAGGTCCTGCGCGAGGCGCTCGGCCCGCCTGTCCGCGTCGGCGGCGTCCTCCTCCAGCTCCCCCTCCCGGGCGGGCGCCTCGTCCTCGAGCTCCGGCCTCGGCGGGCGGGGCACCGCGCACCCCGAGGCCCAGCGGCCGCCTCGCCCGTGGCCCGCGGGACGGGGCGCCGGCCGCAAGGGCCGCGCGCCGCGGGGTCACCACGATCGGCGAGCGAAGGACACACGCCCATGCCCATGCAGGGGGCGCGAGTGGGGGCCACGGGTGTGTGCTGTCGGATGGGGGTCCCTGCTCGAGCGGGGGGGCCTCCCCCAGGGCCCGACAGTCCGCACCCCTACCCATAGCCAGTCCTCCTCCCTCTGCCCCCCCGACGACGGGCCAGTTCGCCCCGCTTCGAGCCCCTGGACCCTCACGCATCGTGTCTGGCCCAGGAGGGGCCGCAGAGAGCGAGAGAGAGAGAGAGAGAGAAACGGGGTCGAGGGTTCCGGTCACGGCCATCTCCACGGCGGTGTGATGTGTTTCACACTGCCGTCGGGTATCAGGATAGATGTACACAACCAGCGTCCTGACAGAAACAGCACGGCCGACTTTTAAAAGACAGGAATGCAGGAGGCAATGTTGTAAAAATATGTCAGCCTGCCATGAACGCTTGACTGTAGGGCATGGGTGATCCGACTTGCCGGGCCTGTCTCACGCCCAAGTATACGTAAGTGAGGGGGTCCTCCTTTCAACATTCAGAATCAAGGGCACTGCAAGGTGAACCTGCTTCTGATAGGGTCAGCGACGCGTTGAGTGGATGATGGAAGACTCTGGAGATGTAAGGCGCAATGCAAAACAACAAATCAAGCCCAGCGCTCCATTCGAGAAACTTGGCGCTTGCTTCAGCGCCGACTTGGCACGAAACAGACAAGCAGGCAGGCAGGCAGACAGGCGTGCAGAAAGAAAGACAAACAGACAGGCAGACAGGCATGCAAGCTGACATGAATATGTGTATATATATAAACAAATATGTAGATATGTATATATGTATGTATATATTTAAAGAACGTCAAGAAAACGCAGACAAATCAGAAGAAAAAATGGCGAACGGAAACAGAACATCGAGAAAGAGAAAAAGAGAGAGAGAGAGAGAAAGACCCAAAAAAACACAAGGACAAAACATAGAGAGAGAAAGAGAAAGAGAGAGAGAGAGAGAGAAACAAAAAAACAACAGCAACAACAAAAACAAACATGAACACGAAAACCAACAAAACAACCAGCTACATACATTGGCGTGCGCACATATAAGCAAAATGGAGAAGATATTGCACACCAGAAATAAAACAGTATGCATCCACCAACAATGAACCGATGATACGAAGAGGAAGAAATAAATAAGGAGAAAGAGAAAGAGAGAGAGAGAGGAAAAAAATAAGATATATAGAGAGAGAAAGAGATAGAAATAAACAAAAAAGAAACGCAAATAAAGAGAGAGAGAGAGAGACTGGGAGGGACAAGGAGATACATATACACATTGAGAGAGAAAAGAGAACGATAACACATACAGATAGAAAGGAGGGGATAGCGAAGGAGAGAAGGCAAAGGTAATATATAGATAATGAAAGAAGGGGGAAAGAGATAGAGAGAGAGAGAGGAAACAAAAAACAAAAAACAAAACCTTCGGACAGCGCAACCACGCCCGCTGCGCCCGCCCCTTCGGCGGGAGGGGCAGCATGTAAAAAACGGAGGTCGCGAAAAACTCCGCCCCAACGCCGTCGGGGAGACTGCGACTGAAAAATGAAGCCGGGCAAAGCAATTTGGGAACGACACTTCCAAGAATTATGCGCGCCCGAAACGGAGAAGGCCCAGGCGCACCGCGTCTTGGCACGCGCGCCTCCTGGCCCCACGCAGGAAGGCCGTCGCGGAGGGGCGACCCCCGCCGCGACCGGCGGCGCGATCCGTGGAACGCGCGGCCAAGCGTCGTCACTGGACGCAGGAGAAGAATCGACTGGATGGCGCCCCGCGCGGACTGAGCTCGTTGAAACCACGCGAGGGAGAGGCCCCGCCCGTTCCCAGTTGCGACGCGACGTCTGCACCAGGCGCACGGCGCGCTCCAGAAGAGCAGCGATGCTGGCACAAAAATCCGACACGGGCGGCCTGGCGAGGTCCGCCGCAAGGAGTGGGCGGGGGCGCCACGCCGATCGGGGGGCGGCCGACTGCCCCTGGGGGCCCCTGTCTCCCCCGCGGGGACTCTGCCCGGACCCCCCCGTCGGGGAGGGGCGCGCGCCCTGCAGCGGGGAGCACGGCGAAGGGGCACAGGGCACTCGGTGAACCCAGCCAGCGCGGCGGCTTGGGGCGACGGCCCCGTCGCTGCGACGGCCCGCGATCCCGCGCCTCACCGCCGCGCCGTCCTCGCCCGGGGGGAAGTGGAGACGATTCAAGCTTTGACGCTTCAGCCCTGGAAGGGCACGGCGAGCTAGACCAGGCGCCGCCGGGGCTCCGGCAGCCCCGCGGAGGACGGGCCCAGGGGGCCCTGGGGCAGCGGCCTTGGGAGCGCGACCCAGCGGTTATCGGGCTCGCCGCAGGCAGTCTT